GGGACTCCATCACCTCCAGCCCTCCTTCCCGGGACGGGGACTCCATCACCTCCAGCCCTCCTTCCGGGGACGGGACTCCATCACCTCTAGCCCTCCTTCCCGGGACGGGACTCCATCACCTCCAGCCCTCCTTCCCGGGACGGGGACTCCGTCACCTCCAGCCCTCCTTCCCGGGACCGCACTCCGTCACCTCCAGCCCTCTGGGCAGACCCTGGCCTGACCAGACACCCCCAGCCCAGCCTGGAAGGCAGGAATAAGGAAGGGAAGGAGCTTGACAAGGGAAGGAGTGAGGGCTGCCCTCCAACTCCGGGTGAAAGGGGCAGGATGAAAGTGTCCTCCCACCACACCTTTGCTTAAGCTGTGACCCCAGCCTGATACGCCCTTCCCACCATGGCTGGTGGAGATCCCTCAGTACTTCCAAGCCTCCAGCCTGATCATCTTCCCCCGCACTGGCCTTTCCCTCCTCCTGGCTCCTCTGCGCCTACAAGGGCCGTGGGTCAGAGGGCCTGCCTACCCTTCCCAGTTCTGCCATCGCTAGCTGTGTGACCTCGAGCAAATCATCTCACCTCTCTGGGCCTCAGTTTCCTCATCTGTAAAATGGAGCAAATAAGAGTTTCCATTCCCCAGGGCTGTGGTGATGCATAAATAAAACAGTGCAACTTAAAGCTCTCAGCACGGACCAGGCTCACACACGGAGCACAGTAAATGGCAGCTATGGTATTATTGTTCATTCGCCTTGCTCACCAGCACCAGCTGACCGCCCCGCAACCCCCGATGTGCTGAGCAACAGGTGATTTGGGGACCCAGAAATGTGGCAGACCCGAGAGCAGCCCTCAAGGGGTTCCCAGTCTGGGAAAGGCAGATGTAAACAGCCGGAACCGTAAGAGAACTGGGACTCAGGGGGCACACAGGGGGCAGAACACTGAGAAAGCCCCTCCCCCAGTGAGAGCAGCTTAAGGAAGGGAGAGAGCCGCTGCCCAAGTGCCAACCCTGGCTTTGCTACTTGGTAGCTGTGTGACCTTGGGCAAGGGTCCTCATATCTCTGAGCCTCAGTTTCTTCACTTGCAAAATGGAGATAGCCCCTCCCCCATCACTACAGCCCTGGTGGGATTGCAGCCGGGTAACTACAAGGAACCTCTTTTTCCTTTTGCCTCACAAAGAAGGCAATCCTGAGCTGGATCTTGAGGGATGAATAGGAGTTTGCCAGGCAGAGATGGGAGAAAGGGTATTTCAGGCAGAAGGAAAAGCATGCACGAGGACAGGGAGGCATGAGCAAGCAAGACACGCTCAGAGATGGTGGCAATGTCCCACCTCCTCAGCCAGGCCTCCAAGGATGCTCAGGGATCGAGTCTACTCCACCCTCCAGAATCTTCCTGCCCTTCCACAGCCTCAAAGGCATCCAGCCCCTCCAGTGCTGCACTCTCCCCAAGCCGCCCCCTGCGAGGGACTCTCTCTGCCACCTCCACCTGCCATGCGATATCACTGTTCTTCCTTCAAGGACCTGCTGGAACCTCTCGGTCCCTGTGGTCACCACCGGAGGGGGGCACACAGCAGAGGCCCCCACGCCTGAGCTGACCCTGGCCCCACCCTCTGCCTGCCACGGCCTGGCCTGGGGCTGGCTCCCAGCCATGCTCTGGCTCCAGGAGGGCAGGGATAAGGCCTTCTCCACCCAGGCCTCACTGGGCCCGGCACTGGACCCTGCAAGCAGCTGGCACTCAGTGTGGGCTGACGGGTTCCCATGGGGAGGGGTGGTTAGCAGGAAGGGGGATGGGGAGGAGGTGATGGGATGAGAAAGGGGCGATGGGAGGACCCTCCCCATTCTCAGCCTTGAGTTAAGGTCAGGTCTAGGTCAGACTGGCTGGGGGTGGGGGACATGAGCTGGGGAAGCTGGAGGGGGTGCAGCCAAGGGAGCCAGGGACCACAGGCAGGGACACAGCGGTGGGAGCACATGCAGACAGCAGCCCCACCCCCACCAGCGAAGCCCCCCCCACCCCCCCACCACCCACAAAGTGTGTACACACCTGACATCCACCTTCCTCCTAAGGGCCAGCAAGAGAGAAGCAGAGAGAGCAAGAAGCTGAGAGAGGGCTGGAGGGAGCAAGCGGGGGCCAGGAACGGGGGAGGGTCCCTTAGGCTGCAGGGGTGGGGGACGGCAGGCGCTGCCAAGGGCAGTAATGCAGCGGGTGCAGAGCTCTGCCCTGCCCTGTTGGCAGCTCCTGCAGGAGCGAACCCCATGCCACCCACAGTGAAGCCCCCACCAGCCCCCACCCCTAGGCATATGGCCCAAGGCCCGCACGGCCCCCATGACAGGCTTTGTATCCCACTCCCACTGCACTCCTGGCAGGGAAAGAAGAGGAGGGGAGGGGAGGGGAAGGACCCCCACCCCGGGGCTGGAGCCCCACCTACCCCTCGTGGATTCATTCCCCCCTTGCTCCTCTGTCCACAGGGGCCCCAGAGCCTGGCAGGGCCCCCACCCTCCCCCCAGAGGCCAGCTTCATTCTAGGATGCCCCCCTCCAAGGCTGGAGCCCCTGGAGGTGAACGAGACGTGCACCAGGGCGCCCTGCCCTCCACACCTATCCCACCATCTCATCCCCATGCCCAGTCCTGACCCCTCTCACACTGGGTGCCCAATACGGGTGCCCCAACCCTCCCTATGTGGGCTCCTCCCCCTACAGCTGGAGACTGGCTTAACCAGCTGCCCTAGGCCCTCCAGCCCGGGGTCACTAATGAGGGTACCTCTCTGGGCAGAGCCTCTGGCTTCAGGCCCTGCTTTTTGTAGCCCTGGGTCCTGGGCCCAGTTCTGCCCTGACCACATGCCCTGCTCCGGGGTCTGAGATCTGGGGCGCTGGGCTCTGCTGACCAGTCACTGCGCCAGGAGCCCTCCCAGAGCGCCAACCACCACTGTCGGCCTCATCACTCCCACAGGCCCTGGGACGGTTCCCAGGCCCTCGGCGCTCAGCTCTGCCTGCCGCTCATCATGCTGTCCCCAGACTCTGGGACGCTCAGAAGTGGCTCTGGCCCAAGACCAGGCACAGGGGAGGGGTGCCCAGGGGCGACGGGGAAGGGGGGCACTCACGTGTTGTTGACAATCTGCAGCCGCTCCCCTTTCTTGAAGGATAGGTCAGTCTCTGTCCGCGACTCATAGTCATAGAGTGCCACAAACGTGGTCACCCCCCCTGCAGAGAGGGGTGGGGCGTGTCAGAACAGCCATGGCCAGGGAGGGGCAGACAGGAGGGCCCTGTACCCTGGGAGGAGGGGGCTGGTCCACCCACACGTCCCCCAGGACCCCCTCCCTGCCCTTGGTTCCTTCTCAGCAGTCACCACCTTCTAACAGCCCCCATGGCTGACACACCTCGCCTTGTTTCTCTCCCCCACGGGGGTTTTGTCTCTTTTACACAACGCTGTGTCCCCAGCGCCAGAAGAGCCCTGGCACACAGGACGGTATCACAAACATTTCCCAAATAAATGAATCGTTGTGTTTGTGGGTCTGTTTGTCTCACCCGGGTTCATGTCTGTGTCTGAGGGGTCCATGAGCATCCGTGTGTCTCTGTGTATCTGTGTGTCCTCACTGAACGTATGTGCACTTGTGCATCTGTAGTCTGTGGGTGTCTGTGCTGGCATCTCTAGCCGAGTATGTTCTCTGGCCTGCGTGTGTCTGTGAAGGGCTCTGACTACGTGTGCCTGTCTTCCCCTGGGAGCATGAGGTTATCTGTGTATGTGAGTGTGTTTGCATACATCTGCATTGGGTGCGTGTCTGTGCCTAGGGGGTGCACATCCATGGGTCCCTGAGTGTGTCTCTATGTGCAGGTGTGTCTCTCTGACAGTGTCTGCAGCTCAGCACACGTACGTGTCCTGTGTGAGTGTCTTTGAATGAGTTGTTGTGTGTGTGTGTGACCACGAGTGTGTGGCTCCGTGTGAGCGTGCCGGGTGAGAGTCCCCGTGTCTCTGTGTCTTAGGTCAGTGTGTCTCCAGGCCCACACGTGCATCTCTCTCAGCATCCCTTGCCTGGCGCTGCCGTACCCCAGAGCGCCAGCAGAGGGCGCAGGGGCGCATCTCGGCGTCGGGCGGGCCTCCGAGGACCAGCTGGCTTCTTCCTCCTAACCCGCCCACCCCCTCTGCTACCCACCGCCGCCGGTCCACCATCTCCGGCCTGACCAGAGGACAGAGCGAAGACTCAGCCCTGGTCCCCGTGCTGCCCCGAGCAGCCCCCTGCCTCTCTGGGCCTCAGTTTCCCCCTACAGTGCTATATCTCTAGACCCCTTTATACTCTGCATTTCACGCCCCCCCAAATGGAGCGTGCACCACACTTTCCATTACAAAGCCCTTCCCCACCCACGGCCTGCAGGAAACTCCCGACAGTCCCCAAGACAGTCCCCAAGGCCGAGTGTCCCACAGACTCTTCCCCGCTAGTGAGAGAGAGAAACAGCAGCCCAGAGGGGGCGCCGCTGCCCCAGGGCACACAGAGCAGCCCGGCCCGGCCCGGAGGGGCAGAGGCGGCGGGCACCCACACTGACCAGCCAGCGGCCCCGCCCTCTGCGGGGAGGTGACCGTGTCCGAGGAGTTGAAGCCTCCGAACAGCTTGGGCTCGGCGGCCGCGGGGGCGAAGGCCGTGCTGGGGCCGCGGTGGCCGTCGGCGGAGGCCGGCTTGCTGGGGGTCTGCGAGGCGGGGAAGGCGCCCCCGCCGCCCCCGTGCGCGTTCTCGGCAGGCTCCAGGCTGCGGCGCCGCTGGCTGGCATCCTTGGGCTTGCTCTTGTTGCTGCCCATGGTCCTGGCTGGAGAGGAGAGAGGACCCTGGGGTGAAGGGAGACCCTGGGAGCACGCAGGGCTGCCTGGCCCTTAGACAGCCTCCATCCACCCCCACCCATTCTACAGAAGGGGAAACTGAGGACCAAAGACGGGTATCAGCCTCTTGGGTAAGTTCCCCTTTCAGAGCCTCAGTTTCTTCATCTGTAAAATGGGAATAATGATGGCACCCACCAAGGGCTGCCTTGGTACAGGGCCAAGCACAGAAGAAACGACTCATAATCAGAAGCCCTAACTTCCTCCACTCCCCAGAGTCACTGTTTCTGACCCTCGTGGGCAGGGACAGTACCTGAGTCATGTCTATGTCCCCGGCACACAGCACATAGGAGGGGTTCCCTGAGGGTTTGTGGAGTGAATACATGACTGACTGAAATTGTCTAACACTGGGGGAAAGCTGCTAAAAGTTGCAACCAGGACCGGCCCCGTGGCTTAGCGGTTAAGTGCGCGTGCTCCGCTGCTGGCGGCCCGGTACGGATCCCGGGCGCACACCGACGCACCGCTTCTGCGGCCATGCTGAGGCCGCATCCCACATACAGCAACTAGAAGGATATGCAGCTATGACATACAACAATCTACTGGGGCTTTGGGGGGAAAATAAATAAATAAATAAAATCTTTAAAATAAAATAAAATAAAAGTCGCAACCAAGGCAGGGATATAGCAGGAGGCTGGAAAAAGGAGAGAGGGCTGGGACCTCATCCCAGCCACAGGGCCTTTGCACATGCTGTCCCCCCTGCCTGAATGCTCTTCCCTGACCACATCACCAGGGTAATTCATGCCTCCTTCAGTTCTCAGCTCAAAAGTTACCTCCTAGGGAGGTGTTCCCCAAATCCTTTCACTGGTTTCAGTCCCCCTGACATTTGTGCCTCTCCTAGATAACATGTGGCCCAGTTTTTATCTTTGTGTGCGTGATTATATGATTATTGTCACAGGCCTTTGTCCAGTTCACTGCTGTGCTTCCAGGACTTAGCATAGGGCGTGGCACACATAGTAGGTACTCAATAAACAGCTGAATGAGTGAGTGAGGGAATGTGTGACTATTCAAGAATTAAGAGATGTCTGAGCCAGAAATCTGGGAGGTCGAGAGATGGGGAAACAGAGAAAACGAAGTCGAAAACTCCCCAGTGGTGCCCGTGGCCCTGCCCCCCCATTTGCCCCCCACTTCCCATCCTCAGGGCCTGGCCAGGGTCACCCCACCCATCATGGCCACCCCTCCCAGCTCCCATCTCAGCAGCCCTGCTGGGTCGGCACCTCACCAGGGGGAAGGCAGGGGCTGTCCCAGAGGGCCTGGGAAGCAGCCTGGGGTCTCCGCACGGACACCAGGTGTGGAGTCAGGTCCTGGACTAGATGCCCCGCTCCACCTCGCCCCGCTGTGCGACCCTAGGCAAGTCACTTCCCCTCTCTGGGCCTCTGCATCCTCATCTGCAAAGCAAGGACAAAGCAGACTTCTCAGGGCTGCTGTGAGGACCTGGTTAGAGAAAGAAATCATCTCGGCTCTGACTCTCGGTCACAACGTAGCAGGCTCTGACTCCAGCAGGCCCGATGCTACGAGCTCCCCTGACCTGAAACACCTTTCAACGCTCCCGAGGCGTTTTATGAGCGAGGAGCAAGGCTGGGAATGGCGTGGCGGTCGAGGGTGGGCTCTGAAGCCAGACTCCCCAGACTCAGATTCCGGCCCTGCCCCTAATTAGCTGCGTGACCTCAGGCAAGAGACTTAACCTCTCTGTGGCCCGCTTCTTCATCTGGAAATGGTGGGGTCATTGTGATGCTGATGGAGGCAAGGTCGCAGAGACACAGCAGGTCACCCTGCCCATCAGCTACTCCTGACATTGTGTGATTCTGGACACACAGACGAGGTGGGCTCCGATTACTCTCCAGGGGACCCAGCAGACCCTCGAATCCTTCCAGAACTTCCTCTGGGCACCCATGGATGGGGAAAGTCCCCTTGATGGGTTGGGGCCTCGGGCAGGACTGTTCGCTCTGAGCGCCAAGCCCAGCTCCATCACCCCCTCCCTATGTGAACCTCGGCCACTCCTGCCCACTCTGGGCCTCGGGCTGCCGGCTGCACAGTGGGGGCGTGGCCTGCATGCTCCCTGGGGACCAGCCAGCTCAGAGAATGTGGGGCTGGGCAGGCCCTGGGGAGACCTGCTCGATAGCCCAGAGGATCACTGGGGCCTCCTGAAGGACAAGCCGATGGGCCTGGGGACGGGGAAGGCCAATGTCTATGGCAACCCAATCCACTGAGGTCGTGGGGCCCATCAGCACTCACATAGCTGGCGTCCCGTGGGACCCAGTGACCCAGCTACCCACAGCCCCAGGCTCGATGGAGGCTGAGCCCCAGCACTGCACCCCCACCCGCCTGCTCCCTGGTACGGATTCACAGCACCGGCTGTGCAGCTGCTCTCTGCTCGGCACTACGGGGAACACAGATGAGCTGGTCAGCGCCTGCCTCAGAGGGCACCTGCTCTAACAGGGACGTGTTTGTGGGACTTTGAGAGGAAATAAAAATTATAAAAATATATTTTAAATATTTTTTTTTTAAAGTTTTATAAATGAAGAACTTTCTAAGAGCCCAAACTTTCTTTAGAATGAACGAAACGATGAAGAGTAAGCCCCCCGTCACGGGAGGTAATCAAGGACAGGAAAAAGGGTACTTGGCTGATGTGCCATGGCGGGAGAGGGAGGGCCAGGGCTGGACCTTAACGGCCCTTCCAGCACCCAGAGGACACATGTGCCCTCTCAGGAAGGGGCAAAGAAGAAGACAGCTCATGGCCCCTGAGATCTTCCACTAAGAAAGAAGACCACTCCCCACGGGGGCACCCAGAAAAAGCACAAGAGCGCCCTCAAGACCAGGCTAAGGGGGCCCGGGGCCTCTGGTTGCAAGGTGTGTTGGTTTGTGGAATTTGGGGTTTTGTCCTTTTTTCGGTCCTTGTGGTTGACTCTGATTATACAAGTAACTTGTGTCTGTGGACAGGCAGCCTCGTGGAGGTGAAGAGTCAGAGTCTGAATCCCCCAGTGCGGGACCCTGTGCCTCAGTTTCCTCCTCTGTCTATGGAGGATAACAACAGTGCCCCCGTCATAGGGCCGCTGGGGGAATCAGCGAGGGAAGAACACAGGACACACTGAGGCCGTGCGGCACACTGTCACTCCAGCCCCTGGAAGACGAGCCCCTGGCCGTGGTGGTGCACTTCCGCCCCACCACCTGAACGGAGGGCTGTAACCTGGGTCCACCTGGTGCCCCTGACTGTGAGCTCCTGCAGGCAGGACCGGGTCGGATTCAGCTCCACATCCCCAGAGAGCAGGACAGGCCTGGCACCTGCCAGGTGCTCTGGAAATATTTGCAGAATAGACAAAAGACTAAATGAGCCCAGACATGTGATTTGCGCCCTGCCTTGTTGCTGCAAGGTCACATTGTAGAGACCAAGTATCATTCTGCGATATTCAAACACTCCCAGAGCCCGGACCTTGTACCGGGCCCTGCTCTAAGCACTTCGCAAATATTGACTCGTGGAATCCTCAGGATTATCCAGGCAATAGATACTAATTGTGTTTCTATTTTACTGATGAAGAAACTGAGGCACAGAGAGGTTGAGGAACTTGCCTGAGGTCACACAGCAAGCGTGAGAATGAAAACAAGTGGGGACAGGGAACCACATTAGACAGGCAGGAATCAGAGGCTGCTCAGGGTCTCCAGTCGAGGAACTCGTGGGCCCCACCTCCCTCCCGCCCTTGGAGCCTCTCTCTCCCATGGAACAGCCAGATGCCCTTGGCAGATGGGGCGTGAGTGGGTAGGGCAGGCTAGCCCGGCTCCCAGAGAAAGCTCAAGATTTCAGGTTTCGACAAAGCAGAGAGTGCTTGGGGAAGGACAGACACATTTAGGGTGGGGTCCAGTCCCTGAGGGGCTGCTGCCATGCTGTGTGACCTCGGGGAGAGGCCCTCCCAGACCTCGGTCTCTCCTTCCTGGAGGCAGGACCCTGCTTCAGGGCCTGAACGCCCAGTCACCATGAGTTGCCCATTTGAGGAGGGCCAACCCCCACATCTCTTCCGTCACTTGCACACTCGGAGGCAGAGATAGATCCTTGGGCCCCCGGGGGAAGTGGTGGGGGCTCCGTACTGGGGATGCCCGAGGTTCCCAGAGGAAGGGGGCCCCTCTCCTCTGGGGAGCCGCTCCGGACCACAGGCTCCAGACAGAGGCCTGCGCTACGGCCGCCCCTGCGAGGCTCTAGGATGCGGGGCCTACAGTGTGTCCCCCTCAGGGCCCCAGCGCTGCCTGCTCAGCAGGTCCCAAGCCCACTTGGCACCTCCCCCTGAGGCCGCCCCCTGCCCCGTGTCGCTGTCTCAGGGCTGGTTCGCCTGTCCTCCCCCCGCCCCATCTCCATTCCCTCGGGCCAGGCCCCTCGTCCTGGCCTGGCGCAGCCCTCCTCCTGGCAGCCAGAGGCGTCCCTGTAAACCCCACAAACAACTGCGGCTGCCTCTGCTCCACTCCCTCCATGGAAAACTAGAAACGACCTAAGTGCTCATCAGAGGGGCCTGGACCATCAATGCCGGCCTGCTCATCAAGTGGACAGCCGTGCGGCTAATTAGACAGAACGAGAGCTCCCTACTGCCTGAGAAGATGCTCCCGACACACTGTTACGTGAAAAGAGGAAGACGGCATGTAGAACGTCCTCCGGGCCTCTCAGGGCCTCAGTTACCTTGTCTGGAAAATGGGGGCAATAATGCTACCTACGTGAGGGGGTTGGTGGGAGGATTAAATGTGACAACGCATGCAACCGGCTTCGTGTGGTGCCCAGCACGTAGTACACATGAACGACAATTATGTCCACACATACTTCCAGAGAAAGTTCTGGAAGGATTCCAAATTCTTCACAATGTTTCATCCAAAAGGCATGGAACAGGGAGAAGAAAATCTCTTTTTTTTTTTTGGTGAGGAAGATCAGCCCTGAGCTAACGTCCGTTGCCAATCCTCCTCTTTTTTTTGCCGAAGAAGATCGGCCCTGGGCTAACATTGTGCCCATCTCCCTCTATTTTATATGGGATGCCACCACAGCATGGCTTGACAAGCAGTGCGTAGGTCCGTGCCCAGGATCTGAACCCGCGAATCCCAGGCCACTGAAGCTGAGCACGTGAACTTAACCACTACGCCACGGGGCTGGCCCCAGAAAATCTCTTTTTTACTTTATATGCTGTATCACTTGACATTTAGAAATTACTTGTCATGATTTTTTTTTAATGAGACTTTTAAAAAAACATGCAAGAGCTTCCCATCATGCCCTCTGGATGAGGCCTGAACCCCTCACGCGGGTCCACCCAGCCCTGCAGAGCCAGTGCCGTGGCCCCCTCCCACGGCCCCCTCCCTGAGGGCACCATACTCTCTCTCACCTCCTGGCCTGTGCATAGGCGGTGCGCCTCTCCAGGCACACGGATGCTCACAGCATCCAAAAGAGCCCAGAAAAGACTGTTGTTCAGTCGCAGCGTACCCACTCCTTCCTTCCCTGCTCTGAAGAACATCACCTCTACCTCTCCTGAGGCTGCACGGGAGGCCAGGAGCTTAGGAGTTCAGAGTGAGGACTGCAGTCAGGCCTGGTTCAAATCCTGGCTCTACCTACTAGCTAAATCTTCTCGGGCAGTCGCTTCACCTCTCAGTCTCTTTATCTTTAAAATGGGTTTAATGGGCCGGCCCCGTGGCTTAGCGGTTGAGTGTGCGCGCTCCGCTGCTGGCGACCCGGGTTCGGATCCCGGGCACGCACCGACACACCACTTCTCCGGCCATGCTGAGGCTGCATCCCACATACAGCAACTAGAAGGATGTGCAGCTATGACATACAACTATCTACTGGGGCTTTGGGGAAAAAAATAAATAAATAAATAAAATTATTTAAAAAATGGGTTTAATAATAAGCCTAACATCTGAGAATTCAGTGAGGAGTCCACGTGCCAGGCACAGAATAAGACCTCAATAAATAGCGCACAATGTTGTTTGCTGTTATTATCAGTACAGGGGATGAGAAGGACAATGCAGGAAGATGCGGGAGTTAGGCGGCAGGGCCTTGAATGCCGAGCACAGAGCTGAGCACTTTACAAAGAGTTGATACTCAATTGTCCCGACAGCACAGGGAAGTAGGGACTATAACTGCACCCACTTTACAGATGAGACCAAAGTTCAGAGAAGCCAGAACCTTGCCTGAGGCCACACAGCAAGTGAGTGCAGCAGAGCCAGGAAGCTCGAGGTACAGGAGAGTGCTGTCAGAATGCACCTCTGGTGCCCCACCCACTGGGCTGCCGCCCCCACTGCCCCAGGTGCCTCCACCACTCCACCACTCCACCATCTCCACACTCCACCATCTCCACCATCCACCATCTCCACACTCCACCATCTCCACCACTCCACCATCTCCAC